TTTTTTTTTTTTTTTTGGTCCATGTCCCAAAATGACAACGGATTATTGTATTGTCATCCAAGACCAAGGTCTATACCAATTTTCAGAATTTTTCATCTTCAAAAAGTGCCTCAAATCGAGCGCGCAAGATTTGATCACAGACAGACGTGAAACCAAACTTAAGAAAAGTGTTAAAAATGAAAAGTATTTAAAAACCCCCGTATATGACGTACCTCCCATACCGAATGTCACGTTCACATACCATGATGTAATTATTATTTTTTTATAAAGTAGGTACCTACCTATATATCGCATAAATGTTTGAAAGTGAAAAAAATGGGTCATTGCTGCAGGTATCATTGCAGTAGCCCTCGGCAATCGACATCGTTTCTTTGGTAGCCGTAGCATGGTATGTATTCTGTAACTTACTCAAATATGATGAATGATGATATCATTAAATATTGATTATAAATAGTACATGCAATACATAGGTCCTACACTGCGTACGTATACATATTGAACAATATTCAGAATATTCTACACCCAATGTCGCAATGGTAGTACATACAATTATCCAAATATACAATACTGATATAGGTAGGTATAGTATTATTTTTTTTTCGATGTTTCGTACTGCTATTTTTACTTCATACTCTAAGGTGCCGATGAAGCGATGAACAAAATATACTAGAGTTTTGTCTTCTGTGCCTACATTTTGTGAGGACGTTTTAATTTTTAATACTTATTTAGTGTTCTATTAATTATGACGTATAAAGTAATAAGTACCTAGGTACCTATGTAATTTGGTAGAAGTGAAATTAGAAAAAGTAGAAAAATAACAAATTCAAATCAGGTCTAAAAAGTATTACCGCATTACTAGGTTGATACGTATGATGGACAAAAGATAAGTATGTTTCGGCTAAAATAACTGTTCACCACCGATCCCCTTAAAAAAATAGTTAACCTGCCTAGCCTTGCCTATAGTATGTACTAGGTATGTAAAATGCTAGTATAGCGATGATGTAAGATATAAAATTATCTGCTTTAAGAAGCTTAAAATTGCTCACTCTTCATAAAACTTTTGTTTAGCCCACAGGGTAACACATACTTGTACTTATGTATTTAAATTTGAAACTGTAAAAGGACAGTATGATTGCATATAAGTATATTATATAATATTTTTTGGATTTAAAAACATAACGTGTACCTACACTTATATAATGAAATCGTTTTTTAAATTTTTTTATTGTAAAAAAATAAAAAAAATTCACTAAACTAAAGAAGAAGGTAATGATTTCTAAATTCCATTTACAATTAAAAATGCCATTTAAATACAGTTAAAGAATTAAAATATTATTTTTTTAATGACTAGAAGATACTTTGACGTCAGTACGCTTTAATTACTTAATATCAACTATTAAAAAATGGCAGTCATTTTACATATTTATTTGATTATTTATAAAATAATAAAAAAATATATCAAAATTTTTAATTTGAAAGTAAGAAATTATTATTACTTTAATACCAACAACAATTACTTGAATAACAAATCCTATAACAATAATTTGAACATTATTATTTTTTCAAGTTCATTAACCAAAATAGAAATTAGTTAACGTCTTCAAAAATACATTCATTAACTGTTGTCTTTAGCTACGGTGATCTGAATCAGATGTGATATATCCAGAACTCGGTGTGCCTTTTCTTCCTTCAGTAGCTATTATAACTGGAGGTCGTGTGTCATGCGGATTGAGTCCAGTCCATGTTCTATTTTGAGTGACCATTGATAATGACATATCTTTTCTGACATTTAATGCTGAAGATAACTCGACTTCCTCATTAGGCATTGTAAAGTTTCTTAATTTGTTGGTTACTAATGATATATCGGGTAAATCTAAAATCAAAATAAATTGTTTTAAACAAATTAAAATACGAAAACAAAATCATTTTATAAATACCACTAGTGTTCTCAGTCCCCAAAGCCAATTCAATGTCATCAATATTAACAATTGGTTGCATGTATTCTTTTTGATTTTCTATGACACCTTCTGCACATGTAATATTCACAAAGATTTCAATCTAAATAAATATATATATATACATCAATGGTCATAGCAAACTTGATCATTAGTAAGAAATATATTACTTCTGGAAAATTAGCTAATTTGGCAACATTAGGACGTCCAACAGAAAAAATGTAACATTTTTTGTTTGTCTTTTTGCATAAACATTTAACTCTATTGATACGGTCGAGTAAATCTTTGATACTTAAACTACATATGAGTATTCCAATATGAGTAGAATCTTTAATCTTTTCTTTTAAATATTGTTTTTTTTTTATCACTGATGATAAAGTTCGTTGGGTTAATATATTACAACTGTTTTCATAGATATGTACTTGACATTCTGTAAAATAAATGTACTCATATAAATAGTTGTAAATTATCTATTATAGCAAAATTTTATGTTTGCACCTTTTTTCTCTAGTATAAATCTATCTACGTTGTTCATGTAGTTATCATGTATTATATAAACAATATGTTTATAATTTAAGTTATGAAATCGTCTTCCAAATATGCTTGTACATTCGTGGTCATTGGATAAAGCATAACTAGTAGTATTTTGATCCTTTAAATCTATGTCAGATACCATAATTGACTTTGCAGATGATAATGATTTGGCCAAATGGTCTGGAATATAAAAACAGCATTGTTGCAGCAACAAATTGTAAAATATAATATTTATTTAAGAATTTACCTCGGACATGATGATAAGCCACATCATACAATACTAGAACCAGTCCTTCATCAGTTTCAAAGGTTTTGATTATTGAATTGGCACACTGGACATGGTCTAGTGGTTGTTTGGGAAGAATATAATAGACAGGAAGATGACTATTTGGTGTTAGACACGACCGTCCAAAATGAACAACACAATCAGCAGCTATGTGTTGGGCTGCTGTTTCATCAACACAACAGCTAAAATTGATGTAAGAGAATAAAGTGTTTAGTCACATTGGTCTACAAGAGTGTGAATAGCAATAGTATTAGTGTGAAAAGCATAAGTATTAGGGTGAAGAACAATATTATTAGTGTTCACCTGCCATAGGATGTATCGCCGAGTATGTATACACGGCGAGCCAGCAGTCTTTCAAATTCAGACGAAATCGATACACTTTTACACAACATGTAGTCTGGTAATTGGATGCATACCTACATAAACAATGAAACATTAATAATATCATTATATTCAGATTTTATCATTTAAGAGAAATCGTTTACAGGACCACCGTCCAGATCAAATTACTTTTTCAAATTTCCCATTTTTAATCCACTGAGAACAACAAAATATTTCTTCAGAATACTCCTCCATTGATAATATAATGTTTAGTTTATAGAAGATGACTGACTGTAAAATAGAGAGTGCAAGTACTTAGAACAGATTGAAGTTTTCGATGCAGTAAATTTTCATTTCCACAGTGTAATAATATTGTATTATTGGAGTATTTTTGTTGCTGTACCAACACTTGGTATGAATTATGAGAGTCGAAAACTCGAAAACTAAATCAGATCGGCTACAAATTAATAGCGAACAGGAAAAATTTTAAATTACTACAAAATAAAATAAAAATACGCGTGTTAAGTTAGCAGTAGATACTAGATAACAGCTTGTACTGCTTGTAGCATTAAAAAAATAAAAATATCAATTGTTAAGAAAACTCCTAAATTGTACGCGTGTCAAGTTCGCAATAGATAACAGTAAGTGATAACTGATAACAGATCATCATCATCCATTAGATCAATCCACGAATTAAGATATATGTGAATTCGTGGATTAATCTAAGGTAATAGTAAATAGATAGTCTATAAACCTTAAGTACAGAATAATTATTCTATGATTATTATTAAAATTTTAATCTATTATGTGATTAATATATGTCTGATGACTAAATAAATATAATTATTATTATTATTAGTTATTTATAATTAGTCCTGGATAAAACGGGGTGACACAAAAAATCAAATATTATACAGGCATATAATTATTAGGCATTAGGTTTGGTTTTTTTGGGGGGTTATTAATTGTATAACTATAATATATACTTTTTGAGTTCAAATATATTTAACATATAAAGTGTATCTTATATTTGGTTATATAAATATAAATTGATATTAGTAATTCTATTATTTATTAATATAACAGTAGGTTAACATTAAATGATTATTAAAAACAAGTTGCATTTATGAAATAGGTATTAATTATTATTAGAGCAAGGATTTTGGAGACTTTTGAATTTGTTTTCTTTGAGTGCTATATAGTCCTAACCAAAAGTTAAATTTGTTTCGTACACAGCTGTTTAGAGTATATAATTTTTATTTGGCATTTTATTACATTTTTAAGCTCATTTTTACAAATATTACGTTTAATTTAAACATTTTTAATTTTTGTTTATTTTAAGTTTTTTTTTTTTTTTTTATTGAATAAAAGTGTATTTACAATCTNTTTTTTTTTTTTTTTTATTGAATAAAAGTGTATTTACAATCTATACATACAGTGTATAATAAGTAAGTGTGGCGACTTAAAGAATATTGTTATTCTTACAATTAACAATAATAACAATTAAAAGAGAAGGAAGGCTGAGTGCCACCTGACAAGAAATTACGGTTTGAACTTTATTTTAATTCATTTTATCATAATTATTTTTTTTTTTTTGTTTTTGTTTTATTTTTTTTTTTTTATTGGGTATTGAGCAGATCTCTTGGCCATTGTCTTTTTAACCTTCTAGGAATAATAGAGGCAGAGGATACACTTTTAATTATGGGGTTTGAATGAGCGCGGAGGGTTGAGTGGAATTTTGAGTAATAGGATTTGGCTAAGTCGTGGAGGGTTGGTATGTTCAGATCTTTGTGGAGATTTTTATTGGTAACATACCAAGGGGCAGAGGTTATTAGGCGTAGACATATGGATTAGATTATTAGAATGCTTGGAGAGTTTTAGTATTTGATGATTTTGCTGGCCCCCAAAGTTGGATGCCGTAGAGCCAAGCCGGACGGATTATCGATTTATATATCGTAAGTTTGTTGGTTAAAGAAAGTTTTGATTTTAATAGGGGTCTCAAAAGATGTAGTCTGGAGTTTACTGATTTTCGTTTTTGTTTTAGGTGCGAGTTCCAGTTGAGGCGTTTGTCAAATATTAACCCTAGGTATTTAACTTCGTCTGACGAAAGTTTTTTTAATATTTGTTATTTAGGTAATCTTAATTAGTACCAATAGTATTTTTAAAAATAGTACCTTTGAACTTGTATCGACAACATATCATAATATTATCGCTGTTTTCGATAAAATTATTGTCACTTGTCGGCGAATGGGGAAAATTGAAACTATATTAATAAAAAAATATTAAAAATATTTTAAACTGGTATATTTATCGGCAAACTGAGTTGTCGCCGAATTGGGATTTGGCAAACTGGATAAGAATCGAAAAAGTAATAGAACCAATTAAACTCAAATTTGAATATATTTGCTTAATTTACTTATTAAAACAAATAGTTACCTTTTCTGTGTTATATTAAAAATGAATAAAGAATAATTAATAATCATATTTATTTTAAAATTAAATTTTTTTCGCTCATCTAGGTACATTTTTCGGTCATTTTTTAGAGTTTTTAGGTCATGTTTGCATTATTTTTAGTGCATTTTTGTGTATTTTTATGTCATTAAAATCCTAGCTGATAGTTCTAATTATTATAATATTAAACAAATTATGAAGACAATATCGATTTACTGTATGTAATGGTATGAATAGGTTTGAGGTATTCAATATTCAAGGACAATATTTCCAAAATACTTTAAAAAATGTCGTTGTGTAGGTACCTAGTAATAAGTACCTATACCTACTACACAATAATAAACGCAATAATCTCGGAGTAATTATTATTTTTTTAAATAACTTTTATGAATTATATTTATAAATCAATATAATAAATTATTATTTCGTTATAAATCTCTCTAGGCCCTGGGAGCTACTAAGTAATTTGTACTACGAGTCTAGCGTACCTTAGGCCCTGAGCTACCCTATCCGTGGGTATAATGGAATTGGCGATAGGTTAACAACCTATCCAGTAAAAAAACCTTGTTCAACAATCAAACATAAATAATAAATTTGCCTTGGAATTGTGGATCAAAGGACTTCAGACTGGAAAACTCGAAATCGGCTTAACGTTTTGGCATGTATTATAATACAGATTTATTCACACTCATATCCGTTCTCCTCTCTCTTCTACACTTACGTAGTTATGTCATTCTATATATTACGTGAATTAAATCCGAAGATTGTGCTGAGATAATATGAAGCATATGTTTGGTTGATTTCCATATTTGTTAATCGTAGAATAGCAAGTATAGGTACAGATACCTCTGGCAGGTACAGGCATAGGCGCAAAGAGAATGATCCCTGACTGTTTTAATTATTTTAATTAGGTACCTATACGATTTATAGGGGTTTTTTTAATGCATTTAAAATGTATGTATTGTATGTATGTATTTATAAATGTAACCTTTTTTAATTTAAATTAGTTGAATGTTATACTCCATACTCCAATAGTCAATACTTATCATAGGCGGAGATCTTGTAAAATATTAAGGGGGGCTCAAATATTTGATGACAAACAGACCCGTGGGGGCATTGCCCCCACACCCACAAAAAACTAATTTTTACATTAGATCACTCATAAAAAATTATTCTCGTTATAATAACAACTTAAATAGTTACAAACATAAAAAAAGAATTAAATTTAAATATTTCAAACATATTTGAACTAAATTATTTATTAAAAATCTAAATCACAATCTCAAAAGAAATGTATTCCCAAGAACATCAAACATTAAGTAAAATATAATTTAGTATAAAATGGTCAATACGGTTAACGATTCATTCAATCGCGATAAACTTTACAATAGGTTTAATACAGGTATAGCGATAGTCCTATAATAGCTATCGCTTCTCGAGAATTAACAAAAATTAGGAAAGAAATAATATTTTTCCCATCTAAAATAGAATGGTATAATATGTTATTCAATAAAGATGGCCAATTGGTACAAAATATGTACAATATTGGGTATATAAACACAATATAATATTATTGTGAATAGTGACTTAATTTTTCTGTATTTCACCGTAAATAATAAATTGGTAAATAGTGTGTATGTAATGTACTAGGTACACTTATACATATAATTGTGGATATAAGAATGAAAAAAGTTCTGCAAACTGTACAAAATTACGGTATTGTTTGTTTAATATTCTTAGGGGATCTTTAACTTCAAATCATTTATTTTGGGGGGACTAAGCCCCCGTAAGCCCCCCCCCCCCGATCACCACCTATGATACTTGTAATATCTTGGGCTCAAATTTTAAAAAATGGAATGAATTCAATGAATAAAATTCTCAAATACAGTCGGGTCGTAGTCGTTGAAACATGAAAGACGTGGACATATTAATTATATTAAATGTGGTGACACTGATTGCCTGATTTCCAAACGATTCAACCTCCATTGGAATAAATCCGGACTACAAAATTCAGAAGATATTATCTTAGTCCATGTTTTAAATTTAGCTTCCTTTTATTACTTCTCATTTTTGTTTTTTTTTTCAATATCGCTTTTAATATTTTGATGGTTTATATTTATTATAAGGATGCTCTGCCACTCGGATAATATCTTATAATATCATAATCGCACAAGCCACAAATGCACATTGACCATATTGAACAATTATATCGAACTAGTTACCTAGTAAGGGATATATTGGTTAAAGAAAAAGTGACACATTTGAAAATGAAAGAATATTTATTCATTTGATATTTACTATTTTAGTGCCCTGAACCATCATTAGTATTAGCATTTGGTTTAGAGTGGGGGTGGGGGGCTTACGTTATTGCAACTCGTTGTGACATGCACTGACAAATTCTAATACGTTTACATCGTCGAACCACATTCTGATAACAACTCGACAATAATAATAATAATATTTATAATAATAATAACTACAACTGACAAGGTGTCAAAATATTTATGTTTAGAACGACTTACTCTTGGTAAATACTAAGTAGAAAATAATAATTTTGTTTAACGATACACGTCCGTCGTAGCAGTACGCCAGGAAGACATTGCAATATATTGGGATCTACTGAGTTTGTATTGACTATTGGCTGACCTACGACTGAATTTGTTTCAACTGCGATTTCGAGGAATTTTATAATAAGAAGTAAGTCCCTATACATTTTTACGTTTGATAGTTTGAAATATCATATTTTGTTATAGAAATATATTTTGACTTGTAATGGCGTTCCTGTCCGTATTATTGGCTGAATAAGACTTGCGAACAACCGTCCGAGTGTAGTACCTACATTTAAATGGCGAACATAGTTGAACAAACTCCAAATACAGCGGACAAAGCCATTTCCTTGTTAAATAGAGGTCAATTAGATGAAAAGGCAATACAAAAAGTTGATTACTCCATTGTTCGAGGAAAGGTAATTTCGTCTGTAGTTTAAATAATATTCAATATTATGCTTAAAAAGTATTTTTAGCATAATTTACCTACAAATATTATTTTCAACTAAAAAAAAAAAACGATTACCTACATATATTGTATTTTTTGATTATAAGTTATAACAACATCTGATGTGTTAAGTAGAGTATTAGGAATTCATTTTGCCACTTTATGTTTCTGCTTGCAGTCAAGTTTGGTTAGTCCGTCAGAAGAGCAATTTGAAGCCTTGCAGCATAGGCTCAAAGAGCTTATAGAAGAAGGACATGGAGAAACTATTTACGATGTAGGCATTGGAGATGACGGCAGCGGTTTAACAAATGATGAGTTTGAAGCCTCGGTGGCTACACTACATTCATTAGCAGCAACTCAGGATGCAGACTGTGTTCTTCTTAGAGAAAGAGTAGAAGGTGGAACTAGTACAGCACAGTATCTTGTTAGAAAACGATTAGAATCCCAAGACTTTCTTGAAATAAGGTAATAAGTGATAAAACATCTTACAAATAAAAATAAAATATAATTTTTCATCTAGGGTAGCGGTTGTGGGAAATGTGGATGCTGGAAAATCAACATTGTTGGGAGTTTTGACTCACGGTGAATTAGATAATGGCCGAGGCCATGCAAGGTTAAAACTGTTTAGACACAAACATGAAATGGAATCAGGACGTACAAGCTCTGTAGGCAATGATATTCTTGGTTTTGATAGCACAGGAGAAGTGGTGAATAGACCAGAACATGGGTCATTAGATTGGGTAAAAATATGTGAGAAATCGACCAAAGTGATTACCTTTATTGACTTAGCTGGACATGAGCGTTACTTGAAGACTACTGTGTTTGGTATGACTGGACATATGCCAGATTTCGGCATGTTAATGGTAATTTAAAATTAAATTTCACAGTGATAATTTTTAAAGTTGTAATTTCAATTAGATTGGAGCCAATGCAGGGATAATTGGAATGACCAAAGAACATTTAGGTCTTGCATTAGCTCTTAGTGTTCCAGTGTTTGTAGTTGTTACAAAAATTGATATGTGTCCCCCTAATATACTTCAAGATACATTAAGATTATTAGTTCGCATACTCAAGTCGCCAGGTTGTAGAAAAGTTCCAGTTATGGTTAAGACCAAGGATGATGTCATTGTGAGTGCTACAAATTTTGTTTCTCAAAGGTATGTTACTAAAATTGTAAAGTATTTATCTGATTATAAATGTAATTAATGTAATTTTTAAGGCTTTGCCCGATATTTCAAGTTTCTAATGTTAATGGCGAAAATTTAGATTTATTAAAAATGTTTTTAAATCTTTTAACTACCCGAGTTATGTCTACTGATAATGATCCAGCTGAATTTCAAATTGATGACACATATTCTGTACCTGTATGTATAAATTATAAATTATGATCATCTAGAGGTATTCAAATATTTTAGAAATTAATTTTTTATTTTAGGGCGTTGGAACAGTAGTTTCTGGTACAACACTATGTGGAACAATTCGTTTAAATGATACACTGATGTTAGGACCCGATCCTGTTGGCCAATTTGTTGCTATCACAGTAAAGAGTATACACCGTAAAAGAATGGTAGTACGTGAAGTAAAAGCCGGGCAAACTGCTTCTTTTGCTTTAAAGAAAATCAAAAGATCCCAAATTCGTAAAGGAATGGTAATGGTTTCTCCATCACTCAATCCATCTGCTACCTGGGAGTTTGATGGAGAGATACTTGTATTGCATCATCCAACAACAATTAGTTCTCGTTACCAAGCAATGGGTAGGACATTGACAGTTTTGTTCAATAATGTTATTTAGTTGCTTTTTTTTTTCAGTTCATTGTGGTAGTATTCGACAAACAGCATCTATTCTCAGTATGTCTGAAGATTGTTTGAGAACTGGTGATAAGGCAAAAGTAAGATTTAGATTCATTAAATATCCAGAGTACTTACGACCTGGCCAAAGATTGGTATTTAGAGAAGGCAGGACAAAGGCTGTTGGCAATGTATTAGCTGTGCCCCCTCCAACAGGTCAAATAGGGGCCAGACAATCACAAAAACCTCAAAAGTCAAACCCTCAAGCACAAGGACAAGTAATCAAACATCAAAGCATATAATAAAAACTTTTATCAAACTTTCAGTATTTACTTTTATGCATTTATTATTATAGAATGTTGGAGAAAACGAAAATCAGCCTGCCCAGAAATCAAGAAGAAGAGGAGGACAAAAACCTTTGGCAGAGCAAAACACTAGAACAATAGCTAAGTAATGGTGGGATTGTATAAAGTATATGAAATGTTTGTTGTTTAAAATTCTATGTAAATTTTTTTTATTTTTTAACTACTTATATCGCCTATATAGGAAATTTAATGTTAACTTTTGTTTACCAATATAAATGGAAAAATAAATTTATCATTGATTTTAATTTAACATATTCACCTGTTTCATTTAATTACTTACTATAAATTATTATTTATATTATATGATACACAATTCAAACACCTTATATTATTTCATTGATATTTGATTTAGCTTAAAGAAAATTAACTAATTAACATTTGTTACTGAATTATTTAAGTATTTATCATTAGAATATCAAAATTGAAAAAAAACCAATGTCAGGTTGGATTGTAATTTTAAAATCATTTTTTTCATTTAACTTATGATAATTATTTGGGTCTTACAGACAACAGACCTATTTTATTATTTCTTATATAAGAAATTACACAAGATACATATTAATTTGGTACCAACTGGTGACTAAAGATGTAATATTAAGGTCTTTTACCTCTGAAATAATATAGCATGCTCTCGATTTTAATGTAAAAAAATTAATTTAATGCTCCTGCTTTCCAAGACGTTAACCATAAGTAATTATTAATAGGTGAGAAAAATAAAAATACAGTTCTCACAATTTAATATTCAGATATCTATAATAACACTGAAATTATCAATTGTGTATTGAAAAATAAGGGAGACTATTATCTTTGCTTTAACAATTTTAAATTGTAATATTAATTGAGTTTTGTCAAAAACTTTTTTATTATTTTTAATAATTTTCTTAAGATAAAAATATTAAGCTTCTGACTAAACATAATACTCTATAAATTGTAATTGTTATTAATTTATGATAGATAATGGAAACTATAATATCAATTATGTAATAACAACTGACCCACTGACCCGTGATCAACATAGCAAATTTTGAATAAACAGAATCTATCATGTGTAGTTTTTTAATATTAGAATGAATTTGATCCATGATAAAAAAAGTTAAGAACATTATTTGTATTTGAATGTTGGGTTTTTGCAAATATATAAATTTTCATGTAAGTTTTGAGTATACAAAATATTATAATTTAAAAAACTCATATATTGCACATTTGCATCACCTGATAAGGTTTTGCTTTTTTTTGATGATTTAAATGCTTTGTTTTCTATGAGTTCTTTAAAGATTTTTTCATGTTTTTTTTAAATATAGTATAAGAATAAAATTTATTCACAGTTATAAAAAAACCACGGATAAAGTTCCATCTATCAATTGTATACATTTGGTTGAATTTTTTTTTTTTACTGTAGAACTAGAAATCCGCTATCATAAAACCTGTCCTGCACTGTGTAAATGAAAACATGGTTAAAGAGTTAACCTAATAATTAATACAAAAAACAAATAAATAATGCCAAATTATGTACTTTCCTCTAAAATGAAACTCATGCACTAAAATTGATAGGTTATCCTGTCTAGTTAAGCCCTTACTTGGAGTTTTAGCGTGTTCTCAAACTCTGCAGACATTTTATTTTAATGAATTAACATACATGTATTATACACAATGTATTCTTGGATAGTACATTTGATGCTTACACATTGTAAAACACTGCATTTATTTCTATACCAATTCAAATACATATTTTCAATATAATATCACTTAACATCATCTACATATTAAACAGTAAAATTAAAATTATTCAGTACAAATTTAGTATGATATTATTGTTGGACCTTTTATTTTTAGATTGTTGGAAGTACCTGATCTATCAAACTGGGTGTATCACTGTTCAACATTTTTCTAATTAGTATTTTTTAAAGATAGTACTGTAGAAATATTTGAAAGTTTCTAGTTCTGACATTTATGTTCATATTTAAAAAATTAAATTTATGATTTCCATTAAGTAGGTACAGCATATTAATAATAATATGTATATTTAAAAGTAATGTTGGAAGTAGGTAGAAAAGGTCGTGTAGTTTAGAAATACCTATTTATGTGAATAAACATAGTGAGACACCCTGTATTGTGTATACTAGTTACTAATTAGTAGATGGTATTAAAGTAGATACTTATCTAAATTATTTGTTTAGTATTGGATAATAAATACATGTGCATACCATTATTGTGCATCATAATTGTGTATAAAGATAAAAAGTAAGGAATTATAATTATTTTTTTCAAATGTCAAAATGAGTAAAGATTGTATACAAAAAAACTATTTTGATTAAAGCTGAATAACATAAAACTTACTAACATTTCTTCTAAGTTTCTGATGATTGTTTATGGCTTGCACTCATTATACTTATATTAGATACAATTCTATGAAAACGTAAAAACATTAACAAATTAAAAAAAATAGTTATCCGGTTGTTTGAATCCGAAATGTATATTCCTGTTTACTGATACTATCTATGACTTAATATACAATGACAACAGTACCTTTTGACGACTAAATAAATATTATTTAGTATTCCCTATATCTATGATATTGTTTCTTATAAGTTATTATAACCGATAATCTGGCAATTAGTTCTTTTATTTTATTAAAAATAAATTATTGAACGAGAAAATGTAAAATTTGTAAAATGAAAAACATTAGGTAAATTTGATAATAATGGGTTATTGTTTGAAAAATGGGGTAAAATAAATAAACTATTTTATAGCTATAAACTAACTATTGAAATATCAATGCAAATTACAATGACGGTCGGCCTGTATACACGTGTTGTAAACTTGTTATTAAATTTAATTTTTAAGCTTTTTATTGTAGCTGTAATTTTATTAGAACCATAAATATAGATTCTTCAGCATATGCCATATTATAGATGAAACACCTATGAAACAAAAAAAAAAAAATGTTTCGAGTACATGATCTATACAAAAATTCTAAATTATGTACCTAATCATCCCTATAATCTCTTATAGTAACTTATAAGATATAGGTTATGATGGTAATATTATAATGTAGGTAATTGGTTTTACAATATTGTCGAATAAATGTGAATTTAATACTCTAAATAGGTACATGGAAAACCAATATGATAAATGATTACCTTTAGGTATAAATGTATATTAATCAGTTAGCCCAACTTGAATTTTAGTTAATTCTTGTATTCAACTGTACCTATATGTTACAATTTCTACTGCCATGATGTATATAGCTGAATTTTTTTGAATAGTACCTATACACTAACGATAAAAAAATGTTTTATAACTAGTCAAGTTTGAAAAAGATTAAAACGTATTATTTACTGCGAAAAATCACATTATAATATGTAGGTAAACCTACATTTTTTGTACCAGATTTTATAATTAATCATTTTTAAAAGAAAACACTGGGAACTGCAATCACCACCTTCCTTATATTATACTATAATATTGGAAATAGTTTGTGTTAGAGATTGTTTGTTTTTTAAATACTCATAGAGTCATAGCCCATAGGCATCCAAATATTAACAAAAAATTAAAAAAAAATTAAAGTAAATCGATCATTTACGAGAATCATTTGTGTTTAGTATTCAAAATAAATTGTGCATTTTCATTTCGTCAATTTTTTTTCGACCTATATACTGCAACCAAGGCCATAACTCAAAATTTTGGGGGGAGGGGGTTCAACATTTTTTAAATATATATACTAGGCGCTCATCATTTTTACCTACAAAATATGAAAACTTTATCCCTGTTATTATTCCTTTAATGAAAATATAAAATTATTCTTAATACAAAAGTTAATAAATACTATATTTGGGTTTTTTAATTTTGGGGAGGGGGTGGACTTCTACGTCCATATCGCCCTTTCCTTTTCCTGAAGCTGTGCAGAAGGACAGGGAGTGTTTGACACGAGTCTCATAAGGCTATAACAATAATAATATAATAAAGTGTTGAAATATGAAAGTATTAAAAATCAATGATAAATAAATTGTGGTTACCTGTATATTTTTCCCAAATCGAAATTCCCGTTGTAACGACGATAAAGTGCGACAAAAGCAAAATACCTGTACTTTTTCTTAAATACTATGATAGCTGTAAATATGTTGTATAGAAAATACGCCACTGTAGCTCCTCACAGTAATTACATTTTAAAATTTTTTATTTTGGGAACAATAACCGTCATGACGGTCGGGAAAAAAGTTTTCGGACTTTTGGGAAAAATGCCAATCGTTAAAAAGTTCATTTGGTAAAAATGTCGGGCACCAGAAATTTCTATAGCATTTAAGAAACGATCTCAAGCCAAATTCGCTGTATTATGTATAGTGCAGTACTGCAGTGATTAGAACATGGGGAAACCTTTGATTTGTTTTGAATTATCACGCCGTAAAATGTAAAAACATTAAAGTTACCCACATTTTTCAATGTACAAATTAGCGCAGGATCTAATTTTTTTAAATACCTTCTTGCCAATTGTAATAAAATTAAAATTCACTAATTATTTAACGTTATACGTTTGTTTGGATGAACGTATAAAAATGGTAGGCATTACAAAATATATTTTTGGAAGGGCTAAGTTTTAATTTGGTTCCTAATTCACCAGCTAATATTATGGACTTAAAACAAAAACATTTTAACATTATTCTGTTTTTTACGATATTTTTATTTTAAAGCGAGGTATAGGTAAGCATTTTCAAATTGTGATAGTTCACGTAAGCCGCTGGTACTCGTGTATCCGACTTAAAAATTAAAATATCAAAACACAACAGACATAAAAAAACAGAAAATGTTCTCGCTTCAAGTCTGATAACAGGTCAACCAATTCACTCTGATATTAAAATTAACAACACAACATGGGAACATTAGGAACTGCTGAACTCAACATTTGATATGTTTTTCACGTTTGTAAGACAGAGACAATGCATTGTGGGGAGGTACCCAGCTATTATTACGATTCACAAAAATCCATTCAACCACTTGACTACTTCGAGTTTTAATTTTTCACTCGAGGTATATCATAATCTAAAATAATAATAAATAATAATTATGGGCAGGTTTTTTGCTTGTAAGATCGGTTACACATAATAATAGTGATTTGATTAAAAATTGCTTATGATTTATCAATTTTATCATAAGTATAGTCTGGATTTTTAGGTAAAAAAAAAATCGAAATATGATGGGTTTTAAGATGAACAACTAATAAGTATAAAAATAGATTAGAAATTAATTGCAACTTAAAAGAAAAAAATCTTATTTAATTTTATTGGTAAGTGATAAAAAAATGTGTAAATTAGATAAAATTACAATAATAATTAGGTACAAATTAAAATATATAAGAATTTTTTTTTTATAATTTACATTTTACAATACAGTTAAAAATATGCCAAAGAAACTAAATATAATAAATACCTATTCCCTAATCTTTCTCAAATATTAAAAATATATTTTTTTTCCCGTAAAATCTGTGTTGATCGAAACGTCCACATTTCAATCATATAAAACTGCTCATTATAGGTAGTATATTACCATGCGTCTATGCTCAGTAATACCTGAAAGTAAAAACCTGAAAATCCGGGGCTCTAGTCACTATAGTCTGTATAGTCATAACTCATAAGATATTGGTATTTTAGTATTTTATTAGTTTACCTACTAACTACTACTAACTATTATAAGATGGAATTATTGCTGCAGTGACGCAGTGTACTCGTTATTCATCATATTTTTTTAATTTAAAATAAATTAGAGTCGGTAATGAAGTATTCATACCTACTTATAACTTATGACTAGTAATATCAATGTCTACGAGTTTGTTATTTGTTATTATTATATACTCGTACGGTGACTTTCCGTGTTTGGTGCCTATTGTTGAAACCGTTAGCTGTTAGCACATTTTCCATTGATGGTATGTTTAGGTACCTACAATGTTGATATGAATAATTACGATTATAAGATAGTTATAATAATGCAACAGTACCTATGGGCTATGTTTCTTTAAGAAAAGGCTTACACAAAGTTCAGAAAAATATCATCATAATGTAACCGATGTTGCAACAACTAACAACGAGTAACCCAACCTATTATTATTTATTATTATTGATTCTTAACAATAGGTACGTCAATACTTGTATGCATTTAGGCTAAAATTAAAGTAGGCACGGAATTAGTTACGTTACGTTAGACAATGGCGCAGGTATCTAAATTAATGTTTGTATTATGATAAGATTTATTTATTTATCTTGCGCTCGAAAATTGTTGACTTTGTTTTGCGTGCTACATGAACAGCTAATGCCTGCATACGTACGCCTCTATTCATTAATTGGAATTCAACCAGAATTAATAGTAGTTTTTCTATTCATACAAACATGTAAATATGCAATTTTATTTTTTATGTTTACAGTTAACTACAATACAAATTATATAAAATAATTTTTGTTAATTGTTGTTTTTTAATTTTCAGGTTCTTGCAAAATGTTGCATCATGTATGCTAATTTTCATTGTAACTTGTGTGGCTAGTGGTGAAAGTATTTTATGCGATACTTGCACGTGTAAAAATTCCATAATAAATTGTACAGAAAATGGATTGATGGACATTCTAGAACTATGGGACCACTCAGAAGTTTTAAAAAATGCAACCCTCATGCATTTCGATAATAACGGCATTGTACATGTGAAACAATTGCCACCGTCTAAAGTTAGATACTTATCATTTCGACATAACAAAATAAATAAAATAGATGAAATGGCATTTATACACTTAAAGTTACTTTTGGAACTCGACTTGAGCTACAATTCTTTGACGGCGGAAAGTCTAAATCCCGATATTTTCAAGGTTAGTATTTTATAAATTCTACTAAAATTATGTAAATATTATAATCATTATAAATTGTGGTTTGTATCCGTTTTACAGATTAATAACGAAGATACTTCTAGATCAGGTAGCTTGATTCATTTACGCCTTGATTACAATAATATTCATTCGCTATTGCCACATACATTCAAAGAACTCAGTAACCTTGCTTCATTGACACTAGCAGGAAATCCTTTAACAGTCATTGATCGACCAACTAGTTTCGCATTATCTTCGTTGCCCATGTTAAAAGTATAAAAATAAGTTTTTAATATATTTGTTGAAGTGACAACTAATAACCATTTAAAAATCTACAATTTTAACAGGTTTTAAATTTGTCCAATACGTCTTTACAAGAGTTGCCGGCTCATCTTTTACACACACCTCGATTTTTAGAAATATTAAATCTATCAAATAATGAATTCACAGAAATTCCACCAGGACTGGATGAAGCACATGCGTTACAGAGATTAGATTTTAGTTCCAATCCGATAAAAAACATCTTGTGAGTACATGTTGTTTTTGATTGTGCTTTACTAGTGACTAGTGTTGTGGTTTAATGTTATTTTAAAATGCGTATATAATAATTTTGTTATGAAGGAGTTTCCCAAAAATGGCATCGTTAAAAGTACTTCATTTATCGCACATGTCAGAACTGAACAATATTGGACCACGTGCTTTAAGTCTTCTTAGTGTTCTTGAGGAATTTCATTGCACGCATAATAATAAACTCAAATCAATAGACCCGACTGCTTTTAGCTACAAATTGAATGACGGATCAGAAGGCGAATCATGGCCACCCATAGTCAAAGTAAGTATAGGTAATAGGTTAAATACCTACTACACTTAAGTTGATCACCGTAAAAGTACCTAAGTTTTGAGTGTCTTTGTTTGTAGTTAGATTTGAGTTACAGCGCTTTAGGATACTTGGATAGTAGTTTGTTGAGTAGATGGGACACGTTGGAAGAATTGAACTTACAAGGTAACAAGTGGGTATGTGATTGTGTAAATCAATGGCTCGTGTCTATTTTAGCTCCATTGGCAGAATCAAGACATCCGGAATTTCTTAATGATTTCCGGTAATTATTATTATTAATGTATAATTTTGGCTTGATAATACATTTTATAAAATTGGATTTTAGTTGCCAAGAGCCAATTGAAATGAGTGGAATTTCGATTCTTGATTTAGATCATCGCCATTACCATATGCGGTGTTTGGATTTCTACAATAATCGTCCCGAAAGAGACGGAATATTGTTAATAGGAATACTAATTGGCGTTATATTGACGGTACCATTTACAATGGGAATTATGATGTGCTGTGCAAAACGAAAAAATTCGCTTTCATACTATCATCGGATATTTAATCAAAATAAATCTCCTTATGCATATGACTATCAACTAAGGTAATGTTGTCATATTAGTATATTACGAATCTATAATTAAATTTAGGAAATGAGTAACATAATGTTAGGTACGGTGGCTTGTTGTAGTTACGTTTTCGACAAGTTTAATTTTGAAAGCGATCATTATGAAGGGTGACGCACTTATTTTGAACGGTAAACGGAAAACTGGTACGGTCTTTATAAGCGGGCGTGGAATTACGAATAACGATTAGAGAATAATACATAATAATAATAATAATAATACATAATTATTACGATCCTCAATAGTCAAGGTTTTCCAAACTTTTATGAAAAAAAATAATACAATATGAACGATTATATTTTATTTTATTTTTCCGACAATCGATGGGAAACCACGAGTGACTGTGACTACTAGTGAAAATAATCGCCATGCCTTACTGATTTACTATTAAATAAATCCAAATATAAAATAATTACAGTACGATAATATTACGACAGCCTGGTACCCACACCGCTGACTACAAAGGCTGCCCTGACTTTAACAAATCTTTAAAGTTTTAATCCTCCAGTTAGGCAAGATCCTTCCATTCCAACTCCTTTACCTAAAAACAAGTCTACTAAAGCCTCTTTTGGCACCAATCAACCTGATTATTCATTATAGTCGCCAGTCTTATGCTGAAATCACTTCCTTCCGTCAAAAGTGTGAAGTAATAGATGTATTAGGTTTATTTATATACGACGACACCTGTACAATTGTTACCATTTCTAAAATATTTTGACGAAACTTATGTTAATGGGAAGTCTGGGAGCCCAATATTTTCTCCACATTTATGGAATGCACACAAAATTACTTTAAACAATGGCAACAGAACAAACAATTTTTGTGAAGGTGGAAGAGCTATTTCAATGGACTTGTAGGAACAAATAATCCAACGTTTTGGTTGGTAATTAAATGTATCTCACAAGACGAAGCAACAACGTAGATTGAAAGAACTTTTGAATCAAATTTACACAATACCTTAACGCCTAAAAGTTCAAAAAAAAACTTTGAAAGACAAACTACACAACGAATGTGTAGTTACTTAAATAAAGAAATTTATTAAAATTGGACAATTTTTGAATAATACAGCAAAGTTCATGAAATAGTTATTATAGAAGTTCACAAATTATATTATATTATATTTTATATTTATTTTACCTACCTGCTACTTTGTATGTACTTATTTGTGTTTTTTATTCATTTTGATTATAGCATAATTTTTTTGTTTTTAACATATTATTTAAATTTAATTTGTTGGCCACGGTGATTTATTAAAACTATGTCAATATTTTAGGACCACTGAAAATTAAATGTTGAAGAGTACCAGTGCTCCGCGTTTTTTATTTCTTTTGTTAATTTTTTAATCTTTTAAGTTCTATGAACCGTATCAATATTCTGACAGTCATTTTGAACATTTTAACTGCTATAGATACAATAGTATGTACCTACTATACTTATCTAACTACTAAACATATTTTACTGTCATACCGATAGGTGATAATAACTTATTTTATCATATTTATGACATACTTTTAGCACCATTTCCTTTATTTAAATTTCCAATTGTACTGTCTATGATCTATAGTCTATACTTATATAGGCTATAACCCATGCAAATTTTAACCTAAAGACCTAAAGTAGTAGTGATTAGATTATAGCATCTTTTTTTTTAAAGATTTTGTACCTTTTGAATATGAATGGTGCTTGAATATTGTTAGCTTCACTTACATGCCGTCAGAGATGCTGAAATAATCAAAAATGCATATGATGAAACTTCGAACATCAACATAAACCATGTTGATGGTAAATATTCACCACTAGAGAACATTTTCAACTAACTATAACCAATTTAAAATGTATAGTTATCAAATTAGTAATTCCTAATTATCCGTTTAATTGAATATGAAATATGCAACTGCCGTGTGTCATCGGTAAACCCAAATTTCGTCGCCGCTAGTTTTACCTTAGTACCTATCCATCTATCTATATGGAATTAATATCTGGTGGTTTGGTTTAATATTTTTAGATTTGGAGTACAAAAATATTATTTAATAAATAAATAATATGGTAATGATACAATTTAATATAAAATGGTATAATGATTCAATTTTATATTAAATGTCAACAGATTATCTGATTATCCATTACGTTTCGTACTATTTTTTTGCGAATCTGAGTAAAAAACATAACTTTAATTACGTATTTAGGTAATTGCATAACATTTACATAATTTATAAGCACTAAAAAAATGATTTAACTTCTCTCGGTTTTAATCATTTTCTAAAATTCTCAATATTTTATCCAATACCGAATTTATAATTTGCAATTTTTGTTTCATGATAAAGTAACAAAATAAATTAAAAATATTTTACAATTTGCACAAATTTAAAAACTATATCTATCAATATTCATACCATTTCCCAAGTATTTTTATGCATAAACACAGCGTGCATATTATTAGGTATACATTGTTGATGCACATTCTTTGCACACTTTTGAAATTTAGTAATTTTAAAAATGTGCATATAATTATAATACTATATATATTTTGTATAGAAATCAGGGCAATTTATAATTAATTCGTTAGTTATGACTTGTGAGTGGTGGTTATTAATTATTACTTATTAGTTTATTCATATTACTGATGATGTACCTACTTAATGTATTCATAAAAATAGATAAATTTACTATTGCTACTAAATGTTTCTTGTTGAAACATAATAGGTTAAGCATTAACCTAAACACCAATGTGACAAAGTATACCTACGTGGCTGCGTAATAGTTTATAAATTGCCCCTGAATCATGCATTTATATGGGTATGTTGTTATATTTTTGTGCATATATTATAAACCCATGAATAATATTAATAATAACGTACAATAAAAGAGAAACTAATTACAAATGTTATGCAATCTATATATTATTAGAATTACTTGTCATTTCGAAATGTATCTACCATTAAATACCCAGAAATGGGTATCTATTAGGAACCGCCGTCCAATTAAATATTATTTCCGAATCTCATACATCCTCACATATTTAATGTAATATGAAATGTGGCTATAATAATATAATAAAATTAATAATTGATTTGTTATAGAACCACCAAAAACTAAATTTCTTAAATTGAAACGTAATATTAAATTGTAAAATTCACTAAAAGATAATTATTCATTTTACACTGACGTCTGACACTTTATTATTTTAAAGCACACGACATTAATTCTTTTTTAAAGACCACTAATAACAATTATTACAAACCAAATATATAAATTGTATAACTCATAGAATATTTTATAGTTTATACTGAGTATTAACTTACTAAGTATTTTTTTTAAATACAATCAGGTGTCATCTATTATAAATACATAATAATAACTTGTATATTATGTCTATCTCTATTGATTTTCGATATTTTTATTTAAATTTTAAAATTGTATGTTTCAGGGAAACCTCAATCTACCAGCCAACTTCAATAATCACCGAAGGATACTAACTTGTAAATTTGTAGTTACTTATTATTTTTTTTTTTTTATAATATTTATCATCTTTTAAAAATATATTTTCTAAAATAATTAATTTACAACTATGTATTCGATAAATGTTTACGGCTTAAACAGTGCCGGGTTAAAATGGGGAGGGCAAGGAAGTAGTTGCCCCGGCGTAAAAGTTTTAGGGGTGGTCAATTTTGAAGCCAAAAATAACAATTTTCTAATGTATTTTAATTTTTAAAAAGAAATTTTAACTATTGAAAAAAATGTTTAATAATTAATAATGATAGCAATATAATATTATATTACACCGCCTATTGTAGAGATATGACATCTGCAGTGTGCGTATTCTTGGAAAGACTATAAAACATAATATATGATAGCGCTCTGAGCCTCAGACCACAGAGCAATTCTATTTTCGTTCATATTATTTTAGAGTATATATATTAGGTATTAATAAATACTATATGTTTGCAACAATACATATTATTATATTACACTGATACATAATGGTATTTGTTATATCCCGCTGGTATTCAGTGGCGCAGCCAGGAGGGTTTGGTTGTTTTAACCCAATTATTGCATCCCTCCTCCTAATAAATGTATTATTTATATTATTTATCAACGAAAACTGTAAAAAACTTAGTTTAATTTAAATTTCACCCCCCCCCCCCAACTATTAATTTTCATAATCCATTTTAGCCATTGCTAAAATACATTTATGAGGACCAGATTATTAAAAATTTGATAAAAATTGATTTCGTTCAACAAGCAATTGTTTTCTTTACACTACCTTCTCTCATCAAGTAGATTTATTTGCTTTCAATAATTGTATATGATATAATGTGATAATTAATAACATTATATTGATCATGATATTATAATTATATAATGTAATTAAAATTTTTATGATGGGTATATACTATATAATGGTTGTAAAGGGCGGAAATTTAAAATATACTCCCCATACAGGGATTGATTAGCCCGGCATAGACGAACTACCATACAAATCACATTGGGTTCTATCGATTTTTAATATAGGATAGGTTTCCATATGTTTCTATATGTTATTTATTATTATTTTGTTTATGTACATAATTATACTATGTTCTTATTGTGTTTGAAATGCAGATTGTAAGTTTTTCCATTAAAAAAATTATATAATATAGCTACGCAGAGTAATATAAATCGATTTTTATTACTTATTAATTTTTTTCCTAATTTATGAATCCATAGCCTAAGATTATTCAACTGTTTTATTGCAAGTTCTAACAGATATTCATATTAACATTAGTTGTTCAAGTACACTGAAGACCCGGAAATAGATATGAGACCTGCAGATATGAGGAAATAATAAGAAATAATTAATAAACATAGGTACATTGTTGTACAATTAAATTAAACCAATAAATATCATTTATTTTTTTTTGTGGGTAATGAAGTATAGGTAATTTTATACGAATCTGGTAGATGTAAAATGTTGTTCAAATGTTCAATTACCAACCACCTGAAAAAAAAACGCCAATACACAGTGTTACACTCGGAGTGTAAAAGTGACCCGTGATCTAAAATACTAATTATTATTGCAAGCACAGAAGAAACAAATCAATTGAATAATATTGTTTTATTTAATTTTTATACAACGTAGTTAGATACATAAGTATTTACTAGGTGTATAGTATAGTATCGCATTGTATCACAAATATACAAATAACACTATCATACTATAATACTAGCATTTAACTTTTGTTATTATAATATTGTTATCTTATATTGTAAATAAGAATAAAACTAAAATAAAATATATTATACTAGCTGATCCTGCGCACTTCGTTACCCGTTGCCTCGAATTTTTAACTTTGTATAGGTAAAATAACTTTCAAAATCAGTACCTAATAAGTAATAATCAATATTTCTAATTTCTTATTCATCTATACTATATACTAAATTTTGTAATTAACAGCAACCTAATAATAAACAAAAATATTATATTATTATTTATTATTATTATTGCTATTTCTCAATCCGGGAATAAACGAGTTAAAAAGTTAAAGTTAAGTAAATTTTTATTTTTTACTTAAGAGGACGTTACACCAACATTTGTTGTCCTCGTCTCACAAGTGTGTAACATAACAAATAGTACACTCAGCAGACCTACCTGCCTACCTGATAATATACTGCTCTCATTATCACAAGCAAGTCTCATATAGAGTTAGCATTTTTAACGGTCAATATAGTGCAAGGAATCAGCTAGTTGTTCAATAAAAATAACTTAATTCATAACATATTTTATATCATCCATATAACGGCATACGCGCTTATATACTTTCATAATAATAATTAAGCAAAATGAAATAAATACTAATTCGATATAGGTACAAATGAACGGTCTCAAGAATACAATATTATAAAATATTTTCGTCATAATGGGATAAAATATTTTATAAAATATTCCTATTGTATTAATAAAAATTTTCAAATTTGCAATAAAAAAAATCAAGAAGGGCCACTTATCGTCATAAAATAGAGCCTATAGTTCATTGTCATGGTGTAGCTTTTTGAAGATAATTTTTTTAAAATCGATCGAGTAGTTCCAGTGATTATCCTGAACAAATGAACAAATAGTTTTTCTTCTTTATAATAGTATAGTGATGTATATGTATCGCTAATGATCGAGTGCTAAATAACAATAGATATAAAAATAAATTTACCATATTAAATGACTTTCCCTCCTTTAGTTCAAAAGAATTAAGTAGGTGAAACTATAATTAATATAAATATATATTTATATATTTAGATGAATTATAGTTAGTGTTCATCAACTAGTGTAGGTGATAAGTATAAATGTGTGTTTACAGTGTTCGTCGCTTATACATAGTTACACGATTACACGAATAACGTATTGTCCTTAGTATTTTCGTCATTTTTGTACAATGAAATCGAATTTTTGTTTAATTTTTTATGTTTTTAATTATTTTTTACACAAATCCCAATCAACAGTTTTGGAGCCAGCACAACAACATCACATGGTTAAACTCGAGACTACAGTGGAAAAAGATGATTTCATCACAATTGACATAAAATACGATTTTATAGTTGTTGGAGCAGGAAGTGCTGGAATAGTTGTGGCCAATAGACTATCTGAAGTAACTTAGAAATTTTCTTGTTGTTTAAAAATATACTAAAATGCCAAATAATACTTGAGAATAAATAGATTGGTTCAGGGTTCTTATAATAATATCATTGCATTAATAAACAGATTACAGAATGAAGAGGTCTTCTCAGTGGAGAGACTTCGTTATGGGTTAAGAGGACGTACACCCGCATGGCGTGTTGTTTCCGCCTTACAAATGCAAAACATTCCAAAAACTGTTTTGCTCGGCATAGAACCGAGAATTCTACAGCATAACTTTACTAAGAAACGATATTTTCATGGTATAAAAAGAAAAAAAGTTGGCTGTGAAACAACCTCTTTAATTTTTTGAAATCGGAACTACAAAAAGTGATTCAAGTTTGATAAACACAAATATAATGAATTTTGAAACAATAAGAACTTTTTCTGGTTTAAGTGATATAAAAAAAAAAAATAAAAACGATATATTACAGGTTATGTTTTCAATTATATCATACATATATAAATTTGGTGTTTTAACATCGCTACAGCCTGATTGGTTCTATCCAGCGCAAAACAGCTAGTTATTGCTATGTTGTATATTTGTAAGACGGAGGCAATACATCGGGTGCAGCGTTCTCTTAAATATAAGTGTGTTAGCCGAGGCTGCTCCAAAGACGTTGCTGGGGGGGGGGCTAAGTCATAATTTTCGATATTATTATAGGTTTTTTTTTAAATTTTGTTTTTAACAGTACACAATTTTTAGAAATACAGGCTTGGGAGGGGGCCGCGGCTCCTAGCCCTCCTGGATCTGCCCCTACTGTTAGTAATGTGAAATATAATTATTTACATATTTTTCTAAACTAGTTTTTTCTAAACTAGACTGTTTTGTCTCTAGGTACTTATTATCTAATATCGATGATGTTTTTCAAACCAGATGGTTCACTATAAGTGTCATAAATTATTCCAACCGGTTTTTACATATCCTGATCCGAACGATGAATCTTGAATATTTATTTATATATCTTATGGACAATTGTCCAATTTCAAGTACAATAATAATAATAATAAAAATAACAAAAGCGCATATGAGTTACATCATAGGCGCAATTCGGGTTAAATTTATGGTGGTGATAAATTTATGTCCACGAAAGTACCTATTCATACTCCATCATTAGACTAATTTTTTATAGCCCCTGCGAAAGCTAGTGCAAACTAAATCAATTTTTTATTAAAACTACCTTATCGACTAACAAAAATGAAGGTAATTCTAATGGTTCAATTTAAAAAATGGGGTAAGTGAATGTAGCTCTGCTGTACAGTAGGTCACGGTAATGGATGGTGTTAAATTTAAATTCGATGGTATAAAATCATTGTATACAAAAACGATTCTGAGCGAAGACGGTCCATGAGTTTATGATATTATTTAGTAATTTAATATATTTGATGATATTATTGTGATTAATGTAATTTATTTTACTAGTAAGCATTATAAATACTACGCAGTAGATTAATTTCATTTTTGCTAAAAAAAATAAAAAACATTGAAAAGTCATTGTGTGTATAAAATATAATAATATATTTTAAATGTTTCAAGTATTATACCCACGAATAAAATTTTTAATTTACAACAAAATGACATGAATCATAATTCTTGATTATTTAATTTGTAATTTCGTCCACATTTGAACATAAGAAACTAAGAAAAAACTGTGCTTATATAATATTTTTAGATTTTTTGGTTACAGATTGACCTACTTTGTTTAAATTTTCAACCCTTAGCTATAAAAGTTGAAAATTAGAAAAATGTTTAGGTATAAAATAATTTATATATTTTGAATGGTATGAGATTTGTCTAAATTTAAACAAAATTTGGTATTGTAAATATCTAATAGTGCCTATAATAATACATAAACTAACCAATCAAGTATATGATTTGATAATATAAACATATGATGTAAATTTCAAGTATTTTCAGTTATTCGTTTTTTTCGGCTCATGGGTTGAAAACCCCTGATCTATGTGTATATATATATAGATATATATAATCCCGAAAGGTCACTCACTTTAATACTGTACAATATATAATATTAACAATGAAATAAAATATTTAAATATGAAAAAGGAGGGATAATAATTTACTTGAAACGACTATGTACATCAAGATTCAAGATTATAATTGCTACGAGACATTACAATTTTAGTGAAGTGGTTTAACGTGTAGACTCAGGGCCGTCCCGAACGAAATAATAAGGGGGGGGGGGGTGAAATGCATTAATGTGACAACTCAAAAAAATTTTCTCGCTACGCTCCACAGTTACCTCCTACCTAAAACCATAGTAATCAATAGATATGTTTTACACAATGTTACAAAATATTAAATATTTTACTATATCTTGTATATATATATATTCATCACATCTTGACTAGTATATTAGAATACATTATTTTCAATAACAAAATTTATAACACTGTTGCATTTTTATTATATTATAATAATTTGATAATATTTAAATATTTTTAAATCAACAAAAAAATCTTAAAACACATATTATATTTATAATAATAACTTAACACTAAATTTGTATACGTCAGTTTTTTTAAAATTGACCATTGATGTGCTATTTTTTTTATGTCCAAATTATTCAACAATATCTTTCTCTACTCCCAATACAACTAAAGAGTTTAATCTATCATCAGCAATTGTTTACCTAAGACGTGTTTTAATCAATTTTAGTTTACTAAAAGATCTTTTGTTTGATGCAATTGTTACTGGAGAAGTGGAGAAGTCAATGCCAAACAACAAATTTGGTTAGCACATGGTAAAATAGGTTTTAATTCTGTTGCTTTTTCCATTAAATAATTAAACTATAATGTTTTATCTTCTTGCACATACTAAATAACATTTCTAGTTCTCTTTGAACTAGAACATAATCTAGAAGATTTGCACCTACACTGCTTGGCGAGAATAAAGAAATAGATTTCTTAATATTATCCAATGAAATATTGCTCTTATTAAATGGTTGAGAAAATAGTATGAATAATGGTCGAATAGATGAAATACAATAACACATGATTTT